GTATGGAGTTCATCTACTTGCATTAACAGAGTCTCCTCGTCGTTGTCCATTTCCTAAGCGAAAAAATACACGTGTTGGTCATAAAAGTAATTATCTATGGAGAGCACAAATGTCTCTCCTAATTATATCTGGAAGCTATCTCATAGCGCCGTTTCAACTATAAGTTTGATTCCTCTAATTTTTCTGTAGGGATCTCAAAGTTTAGCAAGATTAAATTCAAAATTTTGATAAGTGAAACTTCAGCTATTTTAAGAAATTTCATAAACATTTGGTTATAAAAACAAGGCTTTGCGGTGACACACTTCAAGGAATCCATTGCCACTCAAAGAGCTTGCAGCATTACAACGATAAATTGTTTTCAATGCATTGAGCACTAAAAGAAATTAAGCATGTATTTTTCTTCCTCTAAAATCAACTTCTGACTTGAAAATGACAACTGATTGAATACCATAAATCAAAAACGTAGAACAGTGATCGTGAGAGATTATGAGAGCTTGAAATTGGCAAGAATCCAATTCACTGTTCCAATTCTTTGGAAATTATCAGCGTTGGTTTGATCATCAAAACTTGGCTTTCTTCCAAAAGGATCTTCAATATTTGTCTGAAATCTTCTCTGATAGCTAATGAGTATGGATTGTGACTAGAGGTTACAAAGATAAGAATTTCAAGATCAGCTGATAATTTTCCAGTTTTACTGAAACTAGATTTATTTAAACTGGAGAATATGTACATTTCAAAAGTTTGACGAGTGATGTAAGGAGGTCCTAAGTTAGTGAAGGAAATGAGGGAATAAACGGTTATTCGACGCATGCCGGTCTCAAACATTAGTGAAATATGAACGAACGTTCCAGAACGATTTTCTCTCACAAATTTTGAAAATCTGGTTCTGGAAAATTCAATCGCTTCTAACATTAAACGCAGATTATCTGCAAGAAATTGTTTACACAAAACTAACCCATCCAATTACAATTCTGATGAAGGTTTGAAAAATTTACCTGCACAGCTCTACTCCACCCATCTAATCGTATTTTCAAAGCATCAGCTCTACGTCGTTTGTCTGCGCAAACACTTTCGCTAACTTTGACGGCATTTTCGCGAAGAAGACGTTCAAGTTCTTCAAGATTTCGCAACGAAGCCTCGTGACGATTCCATTCGTTCACCAATTCATTCACCACATCTTCGTCATCTGACTGTAACTTCACATTTTTCGAATTTTCAATAACGCATCCTCGTAATTTATGGGGAAGAAACAAAACGAGGGAAATGACATACCTTATCCTCCAAAGCATATTTCTCTAATCGATTTTCCAATCCATCCAAAAATTCCTCTACTTGTTCGGATTCTTTTAGCAATTTATTATACATTTCAACGCAATCCTCCAAACGCTCCACAGCATCTTCAGCTCTCTGAGATCGTAAAATCAGTATTTGGAGTCGTAATGCATTGTCTTACCACGCCTAACTCT